CCATACTTCTATTCTTTTTAATTCTATTCCATTTCATTCCATTCCAGTCTAGTCTATTCTAGTCTATACTCTTCTATTCTATTATATTCTATTATATTCCATACTTCTATTCTATTCTTTTTTTAATTCCATTTCATTTCATTTAATTCTAGTCTAGTCTAGTCTAGTCTAGTCTATACTCTTCTATACTCTTCTATTCTATTCTATTCCATACTTCTATTCTGTTCTGGTCTATTCTAGTCTAGTCCATACTTCTATTCTATTCTTTTTAATTCTATTCTATTCTTTTTAATTCTATTCCATTTCATTCCATTCCAGTCCAGTCTAGTCTAGTCTATACTCTTCTATTATATTCTATTCTATTCTATTCTAAACTAGATATTAATCATTTAATGGCATAGTCCCAGTTATCACGCAAATGTACATGTCATTATGTATAGTATGTGACCAATATCTAATACACGTAATCATAATGACCATCGCCATGAACATCCATTTTACTTGCACAGAGAAAGAGAAAACAAATAATTAATAATTTGGGATTGAGAAAACAAACTTTTCTCACAGAACCAATATTCAAATGACTTACCTACTGGTGATATTATCCAATCATATCCAATTCCTTGAAAATCAATGCGTAGTGCGTGTTTCTTACACACATGATGTTCGCTGATACGATGTGTCACAGAACGTGGAAAGCGTGAATCATCTCTAGAAGGCTTGAGGAATCTTGATAGATCCATTCCAGTTGCATTTACATCTGGGCTCTGCTGTGTGTAGTTTGAGCTGTCTTTATAATTCTCTGTGTGTTGATTGGTATTGTTGTTTGGAAGCTGAGGTATCGCATGCTGCAGTGCTAACTTTGTCAAGGAGCTAGGGGGTTCACTAAACATCATTTCCAGTATCCCATCAACTGATTCAAACGTAGCGCTTGACTGGACGAAGAACATCAAAGTGTCATTGAAGGTTTCGTGTAAGAACTGACGCACTGTGTCTGTGACGGAGAGTTCAAGGCTGCCATCACCATACACAGTGAAGTTGAACAGAGTCTGGTGGAACTGGTTAGTGAGGGAAACCCAATTTCTACTTTGAACATCGTGCTTAAACTGTAAAATCAGTTTAGCTGAAGATAGATCCACACCTACTTTGCTTCTGGCATCAAATGATAGAAGACCACTCTCTGGTCCTGAAATGAAACAAAATATAAATTTCACAGTCGTTTGATAACACAAATAACTGAATAAAAATGATATGTTTGATTGAATTGTAAAAATAAGCCCCCACACGGCCCACTTTAGAAGGTAAAAAACACCTCCCTTTCGCGCTAAATTTGGAATGCACTAGCTAATTATCATACAAATTAGATGATTAATGTGCATGGATTTTTACCAAAAACAAATCAGGTAAAAAACACCTCCCTTTCGTGCTAAGTTTGGAATGCACTAGCTAATTATCATGCAAATTAGATACTTAATGTGCATGGATTTTTACCAAAAACAAATCAAAACTGCGCATAAGTTCAGAGCATCTATGTACCAAGTTTCATCAAAATCAAATGAGTGTTTTTTTAGATATCAGTAGAACAGTCATGGAACAGCTAAAAATTAGCTAATTATCATGCAAATTAGGTAATTAATATTCATGGTTTCTAATAAAACCTGTGCAGTTTGACCCAGCGCATATGGGAGTAAAAAATGCAGCCAGTCGGGTATTGTTGTTTGTAACCTAAGAGGTAAGGTCATCATACAAAGTTTGATCTAAAATTCCCTATTCAACTTGGAACTGAATCAGGCCATATCTCCCTGTTCAGCAGAAACAGTTCCGGACATGTTACAGAATGTGATTTTACGTGTTTTTTTTTGACAAAATGACCACTATTTTGAGAAATTTGATCAAACTCAAGACAAAACATGTTGTTGTGTTACCCTGCACTATATATATATATCTTTCAGGGAAATCAGTACAAAAATGAAAAAACAAAATGACCGTGAGTCAGTTATTTTGGTTCTGATTTCAAAAAAAAAAATATGATGTGCACCTGTAACCCAATATGCATGATTACCATACAAAATTGGATTTAAATCGCCCTCTTTAGCCCTGAGAACAGTTCCGGACATGTTACAGAATGATGTTCTTTTGACAAAATGGCCACCATTTCGACAAATTTGATCAAATCTCAAAACAAAAATGGTTTTGTGTTTATCTTCAAGTATAGTACCTATGTACAAATTTTGAACTGAATTAGGACATACCTTATGGAGGAATCAGCACGAAAACAGAAAACAAAATCTTGGACCGAATCTGGAAAAAAGTGACGTGCACTTATATCCCAATATGCATGATCACCATACAAAGTTTGATTGAAATCACCCTGTTGAGCTCTGAGAAACAGTTCCGGACACGTTTAAATGTCAGAATTTAGCAAATTTTAGGACAAAATAGCTGCCAGTCAGCCATATTTAATCAAATCATAACGGAAATTGGTGTGCATGTGTAGGTCATCATACATTGTCGGTATGCCAAGTGTGAACAGGATCAGTCAAAGGGTGTCAGAGAAATGTCTCCGGGCGGACACACCCAAATTAATAGTCCCCGTTTTCGTCCGAAAGGGAACTAAAATTTCAGTTTGAATAAAATCGGCCAAGACGTATCTGAGAAACGGTTGATGACCTGTCCCCAGCCAGTCAAATGCTACTCAAACGAAAAATTAATCAACATGCATATACAGTCGATTATGACTCGACTCGTACAAATTTGAACAAAATCAGCCCATACATGACCGAGAAATTATACCGAACATACGCATGGACGGGCGGACGGAACCCGAAACGTAAGTCCTAGTTTTAGTCTACGCCCGACGGGAACTGAAATGATGAAGTGGCAAAATTAACTTGATCTATGATCCAGACTTAATGCACAGTAGAGGTTGATGCACATTATAGATTGATGCACATAATAATATACATGTACGCATCACCCAAAAGCTTAAATATAGGCAAATACAGAGTGCATGTACCAATGTTTGTCTGACGACCAATTTCGATATTGTGCGTTTTTTTACTATTTCGAGTATTGAAAACAAAGTTTTTTTTACATATTCAGTCACTTGACAGGGTGTTCGTAAATCTGTAGACTAAACGATCGCGTCTCGGTTTCTACCACAAAAAATGTTAAAAGGAAACTTCATTTGTCGAGTACATTATGAAAGAAGTCGCAACGTAGCTGATATTTAAAATACACGTAGACATTAAACGTATAATGACAAATTTACCTGTATTTGAATACACTACAGTTCGAGAAACATCTGTCTCAAGATCTTTACAGACCAAGACTGCCATCGAATCGATCAACGCCTCTGATATTTTCATTCCGTTAGCACGATCTGTCAATTTCTCGTACACTCGTCTTTCGCATGGCGTATATGGTTTAACTTGTTGTACGGAAGCTAAAACACCAAAAGAAAAGCTTGCTAAAGCCAGGACGATTGGAAATTGCAGTAACTCCATCTTACTGACTACACATGGCACTGGGAAAATGACGGGTGCCCAGGAATAGTAACGCTTTATCGCTTTGTATCACGTCATTTCCTGACTTTCAGGTTGTTTTGTAGCAAATAACAAGCCAGAAATTGTAGCGATTTTTAACATTTTGTTTAATTTGTATCGACTGTGAGTTTGAATCAAAGCGCTGACTGCATTGCCTCAATATTTAGTTTGATTGTTATCAGTAATTTTGTGGACGTGTTCGGAGTTCCGTCATCTTCTTTACACCGTGCCAATGATCGATGTTTGGAAGTATATAGCTGAAAATGAAAAAAAACTTTCTGCTGCTAAATTGTCAAATGATATGACAAGTGTTGCCCGACATGGGGTTCGAGTGAGTTACACATAAAACGAGGGAACAGTTGTTCATTTACATGGCTAGCCTGGGTCGGTCATTTTGATTCAAATCGCGAAACATATTAAATGGCCAGCATTAGTAACCAACCATGAGAAAATTTCAATTAAATCGACTAAGATATGCGTGGGAAACTGTTGATGACATTGTCAGCGGTTCAACTGTCCCCAGCCAGTCAAATGCTACTCAAACGAAAAATGAATAAACGAGCGGAAAATTAGTCTACATATGACCGAAAAGTTATGCCGGACATGGACGGGCGAGTGAAACCCGAAACGTAAGCCCTTGCTTAAATATAATAGGAACGTATGACATTTTATTTGTGTTTGTAGACTAGATGCCGTCTGTTACCTTGAGACTTTCAAAAATCTGCCAATAATAGTGAATTGAGTGCGCCGGGAAGGTCACTCTGAATGGCTGGATTGCAGGTCAATAGTATAGCTGTTGCATCTTTTGAGAGGCTGGTGTGAATGAAAAGAGTATAAGAAAATCTTAGGCTACTCGAGAATATGTTTTCGCCCGCCACACAGGCAAGGCAATCTACCCAGGTTCAATCGAGGTAAGATGCTGAAATGTTCGAGTTACAAACATCGAGTTACGGACATCGAGTTACGAAAACAACGAGTTACAGAAATTATGACGCTCATCACGCCCACTTTTGTGAAACCACGCCCAAATACAGAGGCCAGGATCGTGATACTTCTATCAGGGGTAAAATCTTCTCTCTCTGGGTTCTCCACACTTGCCAGGGGGGAAACTCGTCTCGTCTCTATATCTCGTCCCCTTGAGGTACGGGATCGGGAAAGTCACTAAACTTTACAGTCAAATAAGACACACACAACGAAATACGTTTCAGCTCTCGTCTTAGTCGGTCTGTCGAGCACTCTATAAGACACGGCACCCTGGGGAAAAGTTCCCAAGACTATCGCAAGGCTGACCCAAGACTAGCCCAAGACTGGACTGCCTCAAGGCTCGCCCCTGGACTGCCCTCTCGACTGCCCAGGACTGCACTCTCTCTCTAGGACTCTCAGACTCGTCTATTGTAGAGTACTTGCCAAGACCGACTCAAACTCTCTTTATTCATTTTCAAAACTCTAACCAATTACAAAGCAGTAAAAGACTCTAGGGCGTAACCTTCAATCATAAAGCCAATCACACTAAGTACTGAATACGTCATATCTTTTGATTAATCGTTCACTACATTAATAACTATGGATACCAACTGTCAGAATCGCGACGGTTATCTGGTAATTAGTTCCAAATCACTGAGCCAAGTTCCGTCCAAAACTTCAAATAGGCCTAAACGATGACAGACATAACACAGCAATTCAGCTAATAATCAACTAATTACGTCGGTTAACAGATACGCGAAAACAAATTCATGACACTTCCTCATCGGCGTCATTCCATATTTTCATCATCTCCAACTCTCTCTCTCTCTCTTTTATCATATAGCGGTTCATTGTAAATTTAATAAGCTACGACTGTCGTCCGAGTCACTGATTCGACAAACATATTCCCAAATCTTCAATAATCATTAGTCAATTTTGGCGTGTAAAATTGCTGCGGCAATACAAACGCGCACAGCGACTAAGCCCAAAAGTTGAAACAAGCTAATGCCTGGTCAAAAATGAAAGACGGTATCTGGATGTTAGAACAATAACTACAATCTACGTTGCCGTAACTCGAAGTTAAGTTAACTGTTAATTAAAATTCGAATTACTGGGTGTGGACGTTAAACAACAACAAATTCTATGTTGTCCATAACTCGAACTTCGGTTAACTGTTAATTACATTTCAAGTTACTAACTCGAAATTTGAATAACCGTTAATTAAAGTTCGAGTTACTGGATGTAGACGTTCAACAAAAAACAAAATGTATGTTGCCCATAACTCGAAGTTCTGTTAAATGTTAATTGAACGTGAAGTTACAATTTGGGCGTGGTTTCACACAAGTGGGCGTGGTTTCAAAAATATAGGCGTGGTCAATTCTGTAACTCGATGACCATAACTCAAACAATTGGGCATCTCAATCTAGGCTGACTTCAAATGATTGACAGTACTGAAGTTTGACTATTGCAACATTTCCATTTTCTTTCCGGATCACGTCGTTTCTTATCTGTTCACAACGAAGCTAAACTTTGGTACAAAGTGGCCACTGTTACGAACAATATTTTTTAAATAAAAAGCGTCACGGTCATCGTCATTATTTTAAATAAACAACTTAATATACGTATACGCTTGTGAGCCCCTACCCCTCCCGCGGGGGTTGGGGTGGTGGATCTTAGGAGTGGCACTCATATGGTTTGGGGTAGGAGCCAGTTGAAACTAGATCCGAGTAGTTCGACGTTAAAGGCTTGAAAGTGATGGTAAAAACATCGGCGAATACCCGTATACTATACAACTATGGGAGTACACATAGTTTAAAAAATATGGACTCGCTGGAGCCTTTATTCCTTGTCTATTTCTTGCACTAGGTACCCATGGATACACTCGCCCTCCCCGGCTCATAGTGACTGCCTACAGTCGATTATAGTTTCTGGGCTCTTTGTGGACTGTGGAGAACGTTTATATATGTGACATGCTTGGTCCAAACACTTTTCTTGAATAATCGCTTGAATAATTTAGTTCAAAATCGTTATCGATTGTATTGTGTGTTTTTTTCTTTGTGACAGGAGTATCAAGTAGCAACTGTTTGAGCTTGTTCCTGAATGGGGGGGGGG